ATATATATATATATATATATATATATATATATATATATATATATATATATATATATATGTCTGTATATATATGTATATTTTAAGTAAATTTCGAAAAAGAAAAAAAAAAAAAGAGGAAAATAGCAAAACCCGAACCCGACCCGAACTCGACCCGAAATAACCGGGTACCCGGTTGCCGGGTACCCGGTTATCTCGGGTCGGGTTCGGGTAATTTTTTTTTTTGCAAAAAACCCGAATAACCCGACCCGAATAACCTGAATAACCCGACCCGACCCGAATGCCCACCCCTATCAACAAGTACCAAAACTTTCTCCTGATCAACGAGTTTCTTTTGATTTTTTATGGCGTTAACTTGATTGGGTGTTGGGCCGAAACCGTACTTTCTAATCTGACTTGGTTTCCCTGGACCCAAAAACTTGGCAAAAAGTTGATCTTTCACGTCTTTGTTTTTTCAAGGCCTCTGTATTTCTTGAAACTAGCTAATTGTTTAAGCTTTCCCTATAAATGATATAAATAGTTAGAAGGTGATTATTTAAAACAAAGATTATCAAAATATAAATAATAAATAACACACAATAAATTTAGAAGTCTTCTTATCCAATGTGCTCTTGGCAAAACCCAACATATGTCGCCATCCAAAAGTCATAGTCTGTAGGATCTTCACCGTTTTCCGTTTGCATCTGAAAAGCGATCTAAAAAATTAAACAACACAATCTCTTTGTTTTACCAAATATGCACCATTTTAGATGAAGCAACTCAATTCATTTTAGAGCTAAACATTAGCTAATCTTACTGTTGAAGAGTGAGAAGTTAGTTCACCTCATTCCTCACGACAGCATAACTCTTTTTTCCAGTTCTATGCGACACTTTTTGGTTACCTCTGTTCGAAGCATTTTTTGACTCATTTCCTACATAGAAAATAAGCAAATTACATTAAGTAAGTTCAGTACAATTTCCAATTATAATTCCAGAAATATAAAAGGAAAACATATACAATTTGCGACAATACATAAATGAGGAAAAAATAGGTTTTTTTGCTGGGACACGTGTCGCAATTGAAGGGATATCTCATATAAGTTTGGAAAACAAGAACTCATGTTAAAAATACCCTATTTCGCTATTTATTCCTATAATTTCCGATTAATATACCGTAACACACTATTTGGTTAAACATTTCAGTTTTTATCTCGATGGACTGGTAAAAACAATGACTTAATTACTATTTGTACGTATTCAATCTTCCCTCAACCATTTAATTTAAAACGTAGGCCCATTTTTTTGTTCTTCCTTTCACCCAAAAGTCCAAACATGTGAGAAATTAGCTAGGGTACGTACATAAACTTTTATTTGCTATTTAACACTCACAAAACCTATCATAATAATACACCTACCTTCTCGTACTACCCTGCCGAAAATTTAAATATTGCATCCATTTGTCTATCGTGCGCCAGTGTACACACTACCGATAAATTTAGAGATTGCATCTCTTTGTCTATTGTGCGCCAGTATCTCCCGCCCTATAAATTGGGGTTTGGCCCTTTTGTCCAAAAATCGTAACTTAAAAATTTATCATGACATCTCTTTATCTATCTTGCGCCACCACCACCACCGCCTCCCGCCACCCCTTCCTCAAGCCACAACATGTCATCACCACCCATGCAAAGCCCAGCCACCCCCTCCACCAGATTTCTTGCTCCTCCACCACCAGCCAAAACCAAAACGACGACACGAAATCCCAAAGCGGCAAGGTCGTCGACAGAAGGAACGTGCTTCTCGGAATGGGCGGGCTCTGCGGCGCGGCCAACCTTGTTTCTAATACTCCGGCGGCATCCGCGAACCCCATTTTGCCGCCGGAGCTGAACAAGTGCGGCACCGCCACCAACTGGAACAACGGGGAGTCGCTCGACGGTATCAATTGCTGCCCACCGCTTACGACGGATATCATCGACTACAAACTCCCCCCCGTTTTTCGTATGAAGATCCGGCCGTCTGCCCATAGGGCTAGCGCGGAATACATGTACAAGTACAACTTAGCCACCGATCGGATGAAAAGACTCCCGGCTGACGACCCGCGTAACTTCATGCAGCAAGCAAACATCCACTGCGCATACTGCAACGGCGCTTACGATCAACCGGGGCAAGGCACGCTCGATATTCAAATCCACAAGTGTTGGCTCTTCTTCCCTTTCCACAGGTGGTATCTGTATTTCTACGAAAGGATCCTCGGGAAACTCATCGGAGATCCCACGTTCGCTTTGCCCTTTTGGAACTGGGACAACCCTAAAGGCATGACGATCCCTCCCATGTTCGTCGAAGATCCTAGATCCGCTCTCTACGACAGGAAGCGCAACCAGAAGAACTTGCGCGCGGTGGTGGATCTCGGTCTCACCGATGCTACCGACACTCTCCAGGTGGTGTCCAACAATCTCACCATCATGCACAACGAGATGATCCGCGGTATCTCCGACCCGTTGGACTTCATGGGAGCCCGTTACAGCGAGGGGTCCGACCCGAACCCCGGCGAAGGGTCGGTGGAGCGCGGGTCCCACACGTCCATCCATGCCTGGGTCGGCGACCCGGAGCAGCCCAGCGGTGAGGACCTCGGGAACTTCTACTCCGCCGGGCGGGACCCGCTCTTCTACTGCCACCACGCCAACGTGGACCGCATGTGGTATCTGTGGCAGCGTCTTCCGAACAACAAGTTGCCCGACAAGAGGATAACCGACCCTGATTACCTCAATGCCAGCTTCCTCTTCTACGACGAGAACGCGCAGCTGGTGAAAGTTTACGTCAGGGACACTTTCGACAACCGGAGAATGGGATTCGATTACGAACGGATCGACCTGCCGTGGATGGACTACAGGCCACCGTTGCAGGCGGCCCGGACGAAGATCAACAAAGTCGACGCTCCCAACGCTAAGACGTTGTTCCCTCTGAAGCTGGACCGGGTCGTGAGATTCCAGGTCGACAAGACGAAGAAGGGGAAGGCGGACGAGATACTGGTGCTGGAGAACATTACGGTGGACGCGTCGAAGCTGCTAAAGTTCGACGTGTTTGTGAACGACGAGGACGACAACCCGAGCGAGCTGGACAAGGCTTCGTACTTGGGGACTTACGCGCAGTTGCCGCACAAACCGAGGAGCGGTACTACTTCGAACTCATCCAGCATCAGGCTGAAGCTCACGGATCTGTACGATGACATCGACATCGGGGACGATGACGCCATCGTGGTGACGCTGGTGCCGAGGCATCAAGGCCCCGGTGTTACCATTGGCGGTATCAAGATTATTGAGAATCCAACTAAACCTAACCCCACCGCTGCCGCCGCCACCGATGCCACCACCACAACCGCCACCTCGTCCGGCTAGTCGGAGTTGATGAGTGATCCCTGCTCGATCATAACCACGACGACACGTGGATTGTGTTCCTGATTAAGTTGGTTGAATAATTAAGGGTTCCACCCTTTGTGTTTTAATTGTGTTTTTAATGTGTGTGTTGTCCCGCGAATTGCTTCTGAAATTAATGTTTCTGGCTGTGTTGTACTTTTTCCTCGTGTTCAAATAAAACTGAAGCTGCAATTATTTTATCAGGCTGTTCACATAGGGCTGGAATTGCATTTGTGCGTTGTAATAAATACTTATATATATATATATACACACACGAGCTTGATGAACATACTTAAGTTCTTGCTTTTTTTTCCGGCGGGCTTAAGATATATCAAATATTACTTGATCCATTAGTAAAAACAAAAACAATATTGGTGGGAAATGTTTTTCTTTCTTTCTGAAAGATTTAGGGTAAATAGCATTTACCCCTCCTTGTTTCACTATTTGCCACTTTACCCCCTCTCATATAGATTTTGGGTACTTAATCTCTGGGATTATCAAATTGTAGCGGCCGTCTAAAAATTCCTTAATTAAAGTTAACCGTGAGTAGGGATGGCAATGGGTACGGGTTTGGCGGGTCTTCTGGAACCGACCCGTTTAGGGCGGGTTTGGATCAGCTAAATAATTATGGGTCGAATTATGAGTTTAAATTTCTAGAACCAGATGGTTTTGGGTCGGGTTACGGGTCTTATTGCAACCGACCCGTATACATATATTAGAACTAAATGACAAGTCTAACTAAACATTTGCCTCACATCATTTATTAAATTCATTCAAAAAATGTCATCCGCTACCAAATTCAAAATTTACCTTAAGTAAATTCAAACTGTATTTATCATTTTCTTACTATGCATTTTTTATTCTGTGACTCATATCCAGGTGTACATGCCAAGTGGATACTTTATCTGGTGCATCAGTTAAAGTAAAGTCAAAGGATGAGCTGGAAAATGTAAGGAGCTGTTACACTAGAAGACAGAACCCGTGAGGATCACTCTGACAGTGGTGGACACCTGTCGAGCTCACAGTGATTTGCTTGGGGAGCAAGTTTGCTTTTTGCTATGGTTTGCTGCATATATAAAGCACTTGGTGGAGAGGCTTGGAGGCTAAGGCCAAATCAAGGGGATAAGGCTTGAGGGGCTGGAAAGAGAGGAAACTCTCAAGAACAAAAGAAGAAGCTAGAGGGAAAGCAAGAAGGAAATCTTCACAGGGTTTGTGAGATTTGGGGTTGGGAAACAAGAGAGAAACAGTGAGGTATACACAGGGGAGTGTCAATACAGCTTAGGTGAAATACTGTAGTTGTGTTATCTGCAACGTTGTTTTACAGTCGGTTGAGTCAACACAGTGGTATCTGTGTGTTCTTTCTTGGTTTGATTTTCATATTTGTGTGACTTGTTATTGCTTGTGGGCCTGAATCCACAACACATTTAATATTTTTTTCATTTTTTCCGTCTAACGTTTTAAAATTTTATTTTTACAGAATACCGGGTTATCCTTTTTTATTTTCTTTCATCATTTTAGCATTTTATACACTATTAAAAAAAAAAAATCCTTTTTCTTCTATGTAACATTGAAAATTTAAAAAAAAAAATATACATAGATATATATATATATATATATATATATATATATATATATATATATATATATATATATATATATATATATATATATATGTTATTTTTACATTTTTTAATTCAATTTATTTAATTTTCAATTTTTAGTTTTTTTTATCTTCTATCAATAACTGTAATTATCTATAGTCACTGTAGTCTTTATATACTTTTAGGCATCTAAAACTTGAGTTTAACTTCATCGAACATTGTCTGGATGTTCATATACAGCTTGTAGTATACTACGGTGTACTATGGTATACTACGGCAGTACAATGGTATACTACGGTGTACTATTCCAAACCCTAGCCGCCAACAACTTCTAGCTGTCGCCAACCCTAGCAGTCGACGTAGCCGCCGTCAAACCCTATATGTATTTATTAGAAGATTTCTTTTAGACGATGTCGGGGGTTCTTACTCGACAAACTCTCATTTCTCACATGATTCATGTCACTCCTCTAACTATTACATATCTAATTTTGCAAGTATAAATTGTAGGTGTGCAAGACCCGCACCAATTTGCATCGCTTGTACGTCAAAAAACCCCCTTCCCCTTCGTCTGCCTATTCCACATAATGGACCACTGTCTTTGCCTCTTCCCAAAACTTTGTCCCTTCCTCTTCCCCATGTTGCGACATTATAATTCTACAACAATTGACATAAGAAGCTCTTTCTGGTTCTCTTATCAGCTTTCAACTACGAATATGATTAACGTTGGCTCCGAACAAATGATCCTCCATATTTCTTGTAATTCAAATTAAAAACATATTTTACTAAAAATAAAATAAATACTTTTTTTTTTTAAAATTAATTAACTGTGGTGAAAGAAAAAAATATAAAGCAGCAAGTTCATGACTTTCTACCATTCCTCATCCAACCAAAAAAATTGAGAATCAAATAAGAGAATATCCAAAACAAATAGAACGGGCAAGGGCCTGTTAATGTAAAAAAAAAGTTCTTAATACAGTACTATTTTCTAAGCACCAAAAATAAAATAGCCATTCTCTCAATTAATAATTAATTAAATATCAATTTAACTGATGAAGAGGTGGCGGAGACGGAATTGTGTAGGGCCAAGTTTTTCTGAACCGGAATGACGAGAGGATCTAAACACATAGCTATGCTGTGATGTGCGATGAATTTTGGCGTTTCAAGGTCGTTTAGGCCCTCAAAACGATGTTTTTGCTATTTTAGGAAAGTTTTAAATAATTCATAATTAATTCTAGAAAATTCATATTTGAAATTCGCAAGTTGGGATGTTCCAATTTTCGGTATTCTACTAGGTTTAGGAGTTATTTCGTTTGTTGTTTTTTTGGTAATTTTCTCGTTTTCCTAGTTTGATTAGGGTTTTTCGATTTCTTTAGTACAAATAGTTGTTCTAGGGTTTATGTTTTAGGATCTTTAGTTATCAATAAAATTTCTGAGTTTTCTCTCAATTATCTGGTGGATTCCAGAATTATCGTGCTCTATAGGATTAATTCGTAGAAATTAATTCCTTTTTGTGCTTTCGTTCTGCGTAAGTAGGCCAAATATTTAAGAACTTAACTCAAAAGAATTGGGAAAACTCATTTTGTAGAGTCCAAACTAACCCACCAATATTTTTTAGTAAATAAAATCCCCAGATAATTTTGTATGAATAATTTACTATTCCCAAATCAACTAGAACAACAAAGCTACTAACATGTGTAAATATATTGAATTTTATATGGATAATTTACTCTATTAAAGATTGGCTACAATTACTCGATGTTCGTTGTCATTTCTTAGACTTCCTTCAACAATACTGATATTAAATATATTGAATTTTAGAGAAAGGTTAGGGCTTTTTTGGGAGAGAATGGAGAGAAATTAGTAATCTGTGTATTATCTTTCCCTCGGGTTTTTTCAGTCTTTCGTTATTTAGTGTTTATTAGCCACCTCAGCAGGGATAATGCGGTAATTGTACACATTTCATTAACATAGGTGGACCTTTCACGGTTTTTGAAGGGGGTATTTGTTACAAATGGTATATTAGGATGTATCTATTACAAGGGGCATACTTCAAGGGTAATATGTAATTAACTCAATAATAAATAATACAAATTTAACAAAGGGGACGACAATTTGAAATACCAATTGTTCCTCATTTTAATACCGCAAAAATAATAAATGGTAATGCCATTTATACATTTAATGAAAAGAGGTTTTTGTGCATAAGTTCACAATCACACATCTTTATTATTCTAGGTTTATGGACTATATCTCTTTCACCAATAAACTCATCCCTTTAATATTTATTATAAATAAAAGAAACATTCATGTATATGACCATATTAACCCCAACCCTTTATACCCAATTCTTAATTGTAACCCCAATTTAGTCAATTTTGTCCACAAAAATCCAATTTTGACTTTTTTTTTCAAAAACATTTTTTTTTGCCGCCGGATTTCGGCTTTGCCTTTTCGTTTTTTTTTCTTTTTACGTCTGCCGCTAAACGTTGACCGTAATTGTGTTGTCACTGACAGTAAATTAACGTAATTATACTGTCAATGATAGTTAATTAACGTAATTGTACTGCCGTTGACAATACATTTATGTAATTGTTCTGCTGTTGACAGTAAATTAACGTAATATTATTATTTTTTTATTTTTTGTTATTTATTTTTATTTTGTTTGATTTGTTGACAAGTCAACGTAATTATATTGCTGACGTTGACAGTAAAATAACTGTAAACACAATAATATTACTGTCAACAACATTAATATTATTATTTTTTTGGGCTTTTTGTTTTGTTTGAGTTATTCACGGAGTAACGTAATAATATTAATGTCTATTATTGTAATATTACTATAAACACAATAATATTACTGTGGTTAACGGTAATATTATTGTTGTTATAGTAATATTGCTGTCAACCACATCAATATTATTATTTTGTTTGGATTTTTTTTGTTTGTTTGAGTTATTCACGGAGTAACGTAATAATATTACTGTCTATTATTGTAATATTACTGTGGTTGACGGTGATATTACTGTTGTTATAGTAATATTACTATCATATATATTAATTCTTTTGGCTTTTTATTATGTTTATATTTGTTGAACGGTCAACATAATAATATTACTCTATTGCACAATAATAATGAGTTTCGTTGTGTTAATATTACTGTGCTTGAGATTTATATAGCAATATTATTGTGTTAAATTGTATTATAGTTAATTTTACTGTGTTTAACAGTAATATAGTTAATATCACTGTCAATCACAGCAATATTACTGTTTAAACGAAAAAAAATATGTTACAAGAAAAAAAAATGTCAACACCGAAAAAAAAAAAAACAGTTCTCATATTCCCATTTCTAAGACATGCCGTTTCCCTGTTTTCCATATTTCCCCGTATGGGCGTATCGTTGTTTCAGTGGTGGTGCTACATTGGAGCAGTGTTCTAAATATCAGTCGTGGCGGACGTAAACCTTTACGATATCTGTGTGGCGGTTTTGAAAATCGGTTTTTTGACGGTGAGGCGGTCCGAGGCGGTCTGTGGCGGGTCAAACCGATATATCGGGTCAAACTTCGAACGATATATCGGAAAAATATTTTTTTTATTTT